ATTGTAAAAATGCAATAAAGTCTGTGAAATAAAAACTATACTGAATTTTCAGGATTTTGTCATATTTTGTGAAACATAAATCTCAAAACTACAGAAAAAATAATAACAGAAAAATAAACAAGTAAATAAAACAGGCACAATCTTTGAGCAGTGGGTGACCTGGTGGCTGTTATCCAACAAAAAAGCTTTTGAGACATTTGTTCCTGCAGACGTATGCCAGACTTACGACTCCAAGTGTTTCCAAATGCCTCTGCGGCCTCCCTACCTGGTGGCTTTCAAAGCAGAGGACACACACTGCTTTCAAATGGCTTTCAAACCGATGTCACAGATAAACTCCGATTGATTTCTGAACATTGTACTGATCACAGTGACGTTGACCACCGAGGCAAGATTAGCAATATTCCTAACATTAATTAAAATGCCCACTGTGCAAGAACAGATGGCCAAACTCATTAATCGGCTGTAAGGCTCTTACTGCCACCACACACGTCTTAATCCGGCCGTGATCTGCCTTTATCACCTGACTTAGGTGCCAAACAAGTATCACTCCTGCGTTAGCCTTCCTTTGTTTGTGCCACGGCCCCTGCTGACCTGCATTGATTGGAGAAATATTTTGAACGAGGGTGGTTTTGTATTGAAGTGCGTAGTTCAGCCACAAACAGAAATGTGCAGCTCAGACCCACCTGTATCATCTGCTCGTTTAATTGCCTGCACCAGACAAAGATATTTTTAACACCAGCTGTTACCTTCAAATATTTGCATTACATCGCAGTAAGTGTGAGACATTTGATAAGATTAAAGCTTAATCCTCTTAGTGGCAAACAACTAATTTGGCTAATAATTCTGCATCACCTTCTGACTCCTCATTGCCACACGAGCTCAGATTTCAGCACCCAGCCAGCATGGGACTGTTGTGGTGAAGGCTTTGTGTGTCTGCTGATGAAAAAATAAAAAATAAAATAAAACATCTTGTGTTTGATCCCCTGCTGGCTCTGTGTTCCATGTTCAGCATGAGGTTGTTTTTAATAAAGACAGAAAACATGGAAAGTAGACAAAAAAAGATAAAGTAGCTAAAAAAATTAGCATTATACGGAGATATTACATTTCATTTTTATTCTTGTTTCACYCTAGAAAAAGAAACTGTTTCTCTGCTGAGGTGGATGAATCACGTTGGATTTAGTGTTGCTGCAAAATACAGCCCCAAATACCACTGGTTATGATGTTGTGTGAGTACAAAACAAGGCTGGAGAATATAGGAAACCCACTTGTTGACTTTGTGCCCCCATGGATTTGTGTAGAAACTTAGCAGCCACTTCAGCTGTAATGTCATCTCACTGAAGCGTGTTCCAAGTTCAATATGAAAATACTGCAGCTTTCAGTAGCGTACGTTCAAAATTGGCCTACTCTGCCTCAGTGTTTGAGCATTTTGTTATTTTTTTCCCCTCTCCTAATTCTCCCTGTGAGTCTTGCCAACAATGGCAGACTTTTATTATTTGACAGAGGAAATCAATCACTGCATCTACTGCGTGAACAAAACTGAGCTTGTCTTGCACTTTCARTGTGCTTCTTATCATGTCTCACACTGATCTTTTGGTCTCTCTGGTGTTTTCATTGTGTGTGTGTATGTGTGAGTTTTTACACCTTCGTGTTTGCGACCTCTGGGGAAGAGCTCAGACAGATAACCCAAAACTTTTGCGAGGCGTCAAGAGCCTTTTGAAGAGCTGTAGACAGCTTTTAATCAGCAGAAGCTAATCAGCCATATGTTTAACAAAGGTCTGGTTGGCTCGTGTTTTTTCAAGAGCTTTTTCTGCTGTGTGTCTTCTATGTGAGTCTTGTTTTTATCTTTTTTTTTTACCTTCCAGGGCTCCTGTTACCAAACTCTGTTCGAAGGGGTAAATTAAGTGCAACTGGGTTTTTTATTACAACACAGATGATCTTGATTAGGCAGGCAGGKTTTTTTTTTGTCCCCGCTAATGCAGATCTACAATCATATTCCATGTGTAATTAACATTGTGGGTGTCCAAAAACACAACACTAATCAAATCACTTTTGTCTGCCTTTGTGGGTTTTCTCAACCACGCTGCTATGACAAAAAAAAAAGAAAGAAAGAAAAGAAATTCCTCCTCCACTGTTTGACGAAATGAGGCGGTTGCTCAACAGAAAGCAACATTTGTGCCTATTACTTATGCATGGTATAATTTATCCTTGTGCATATAATTTGTGGTGCATGTTTACATGAATATAAATGATAAAATTAGGTTAAAATAAATATTTGTCATTCTGTTTTTGAACATGTATACTTTTATTGGAAGACAGATAGTTGGAATGACGTGAAAATGCAGTGATTTACATAAACTTTAAGTAAAAATMAGACAAGATGCCATTACTAAGTGTGTTTCCATCAAGGCTTTTTGATGCGCATTTCGAAGTGTCGCATTAAAAATGCGAAAAAATGTCGGATGGAAACAGCAAAATTTGAAAAAAAAATCCTCAATTCGCTAAAAAGTTTTTACGCTCGCTTGAGGTGGTTTTTGGGGTTTTTTGAAAAACAATGCACAAAAGGAGAGATGGAAACACTTTTGCAGAATAAGTTGTGACATAGCGAACATTTACCTCACGTAGCTGATCAGCTGTTCCACGGTACCKGTATCAGTTTCGGGTCGGCTGCAGCCGCAATTGGCAGCAGGACCCTCCTCCCGCTGTTTGTGTCTTCTCAGTTATCCCGTAACATTAAGAAAATTGCATTTCTTTCTCTACGTCTCCAGACAGCAGTAACATCACCAAAACTAGTTGATAACAGAATAATTACAACTTTCCTTATAGTAGCATTCCTGATGACTTCTCTCCATTATCCTGAGATGTGTGGACTCTGCGAGTTTAGTGATGGTTACTTCCTGTTTACTACACACATGCGTACGACGTAATTGATTCGCTTCAAGCCAGTTGATGGAAACTCTGTTTGATTCACATTTCTTATTTTTTTCCTTTTTGCGAAATTATTAAAATTAGCTCAAACTTCGAATTAAAATTGGATGTAATTGGATGGAAACACGATTACTGAAACATTTGTTTCTATGTTTGTACTTCTATTTTACATTTCATTCCAGCAGCAGGAGTTGCTGATATTGCTGCGCTGAATCTCCTCTTCTTTAAATATTAATTGATTCAGGTTTGAAAGTGCAGTGTGTTCCAGATTTTCAATTTCCTTTGTTTTATATTTTGGTTCAGAGTGTTCTAAATGTTTTCATCATGTTTTAAACAATGTCTAACCTGAAAGAGACTTCAAATGACAACGGTATGTATTGTTGAGAAATAAAAGTTTTTTTAACATTCAACATTGTCATCTTTACTACAATTACCGCAATAATGCTCTCTTTGAATACTGAATACTGATTTTTGCTTTGCAAGCAGATTAACAACCAAAGAGATCTGTTTTCTCTCTGACCCCACAGACACTGCTTTGAAATTTTCCTAAATTAAATTATGTTATTGTTAACATAACCATGGGAAGGTTTCTACATGGAACATCTGAAAAAGACCTGAACTGCCCCTTTAAAGCAAAATATTGGTGGTTTGATAAGATAATGTGTGCAGTCCTCCTCAAACCAAAATTGTTAGCTTGTATCTTTGGTCAGATTTTAACTATTTTTCACCAAATCAAACATTAAGAAAGACTTATTTGCAACAGGTAAGATGTTTATTATTCATCACCTCTCCACACATCATTCCATTAAAAAAGTATATCATTTGTTTTAATACATGTGGGCCCAAGAAGGATGCAGTGATTCATATTACATTTTATGTTATTTTTTATTTAATTTTATTGGTAACAACATGGGTGTTTACCTATAAAACTATGTTTGGTTTTAACGCATTTCTGTCCAAAAACCCACAGATTAAAGTCAGTCAGTGTTATCAGCCTTGTTCTTTGAGTGAAGAGGATTCCCTAAATCTTTTAATGATATTATGTGCCTTGGATCATAAAATCTYCTGTTGCTCTTAAGGCTATTAACTTTTGGTAAACCGCTTGCTATGAAATGTAAAGGAGTTAAAAATATAACATTTCAACATTTAGTGTGCTATTCTGGAACACTTGTCTAACATATTTCGTTAAAAAAAAGAGTTATATGTTAATGCAACTTCTTATTGCATGTTTTACAAAACTTATTTATGGGAAATTCACAGTTCTACTA